GACACAGGTACATATAGACACAGAGAGACACAGGTACATATAGACACAGAGAGACACAGGTACATATAGACACAGAGAGACACAGGTACATATAGACACAGAGAGACACAGGTACATTTAGACACAGAGAGACACAGGTACATTTAGACACAGAGAGACACAGGTACATTTAGACACAGAGAGACACAGGTACATATAGACACAGAGAGACACAGGTACATATAGACACAGAGAGACACAGGTACATATAGACACAGAGAGACACAGGTACATATAGACACAGAGAGACACAGGTACATATAGACACAGAGAGACACAGGTACATATAGACACAGAGAGACACAGGTACATATAGACACAGAGAGACACAGGTACATATAGACACAGAGAGACACAGGTACATTTAGACACAGAGAGACACAGGTACATATAGACACAGAGAGACACAGGTACATATAGACACAGAGAGACACAGGTACATTTAGACACAGAGAGACACAGGTACATTTAGACACAGAGAGACACAGGTACATATAGACACAGAGAGACACAGGTACATATAGACACAGAGAGACACAGGTACATATAGACACAGAGAGACACAGGTACATTTAGACACAAAGAGACACAGGTACATATAGACACAGAGAGACACAGGTACATATAGACAGGGAGACACAGGTACATATAGACACAGAGAGACACAGGTACATATAGACACAGAGACACAGGTACATATAGACACAGAGAGACACAGGTACATTTAGACACAGAGAGACACAGGTACATTTAGACACAGAGAGACACAGGTACATAAAGACACAGAGAGACACAGGTACATATAGACACAGAGAGACACAGGTACATATAGACACAGAGAGACACAGGTACATTTAGACACAAAGAGACACAGGTACATATAGACACAGAAAGACACAGGTACATATAGACACAGGGAGACACAGGTACATATAGACACAGAGAGACACAGGTACATTTAGACACAGAGAGACACAGGTACATATAGACACAGAGAGACACAGGTACATATAGACACAGAGAGACACAGACATATAGACACAGAGAGACACAGGTACATATAGACACAGAGAGACACAGGTACATATAGACACAGAGAGACACAGGTACATATAGACACAGAGAGACACAGGTACATATAGACACAGAGAGACACAGGTACATTTAGACACAGAGAGACACAGGTAAATATAGACACAGAGAGACACAGGTACATTTAGACACAGAGAGACACAGGTACATTTAGACACAGAGAGACACAGGTACATATAGACACAGAGAGACACAGGTACATTTAGACACAGAGAGGCACAGGTACATATAGACACAGAGAGACACAGGTACATATAGACACAGGTACATATAGACACAGAGAGACACAGGTACATATAGACACAGAGAGACACAGGTACATTTAGACACAGAGAGACACAGGTACATTTACACACAGAGAGACACAGGTACATATAGACACAGAGAGACACAGGTACATTTAAACACAGAGAGACACAGGTACATATAGACACAGAGACACAGGTACATATAGACACAGAGAGACACAGGTACATATAGACACAGAGAGACACAGGTACATATAGACACAGAGAGACACAGGTACATATAGACACAGAGAGACACAGGTACATTTAGACACAAAGAGACACAGGTACATATAGACACAGAGAGACACAGGTACATATAGACACAGGGAGACACAGGTACATATAGACACAGAGAGACACAGGTACATTTAGACACAGAGAGACACAGGTACATATAGACACAGAGAGACACAGGTACATATAGACACAGAGAGACACAGACATATAGACACAGAGAGACACAGGTACATATAGACACAGAGAGACACAGGTACATATAGACACAGAGAGACACAGGTACATATAGACACAGAGAGACACAGGTAAATATAGACACAGAGAGACACAGGTACATTTAGACACAGAGAGACACAGGTACATTTAGACACAGAGAGACACAGGTACATATAGACACAGAGAGACACAGGTACATTTAGACACAGAGAGGCACAGGTACATATAGACACAGAGAGACACAGGTACATATAGACACAGGTACATATAGACACAGAGAGACACAGGTACATATAGACACAGAGAGACACAGGTACATTTAGACACACAGAGAGACACAGGTACATGTAGACACAGAGAGACACAGGTACATTTAGACACAGAGAGACACAGGTACATTTAGACACAGAGAGACACAGGTACATTTAGACACAGAGAGACACAGGTACATATAGACACAGAGAGACACAGGTACATTTAAACACAGAGAGACACAGGTACATATAGACACAGAGACACAGGTACATATAGACACAGAGAGACACAGGTACATATAGACACAGAGAGACACAGGTACATATAGACACAGAGAGACACAGGTACATATAGACACAGAGACACAGGTACATTTAGACACAGAGAGACACAGGTACATTTAGACACAGAGAGACACAGGTACATATAGACACAGAGAGACACAGGTACATTTAGACACAGAGAGACACAGGTACATATAGACACAGAGAGACACAGGTACATATAGACACAGGTACATATAGACACAGAGAGACACAGGTACGCACGGTGGCTGAGTGGATAGCACTCTCGCCTCTCAGCAAGAAGGTCCTGGGTTCGAATCCCGGTTGGACCAGGGCCTTTCTGAGTGGAGTTTGCCTGTTCTCCCCGTGTCTGCGTAGGTTTCCTCCGGGTGCTCCGGTTTCCCATACCACTAAAAATATGTACAATAGGTCTGGCATGTGCCTCCTGTACTGGCACCCCTGCTCCCAAAAATAACAATTGTAAACCGCTTTGAGACTCCGATGTGCAGTGAAAAGGCTGTATATAAATAAAGATTACTTACTTACTTACTTACATATAGACACAGAGAGACACAGGTACATATAGACACAGAGAGACACAGGTACATATAGACACAGAGAGACACAGGTACATTTAGACACAGAGAGACACAGGTACATATAGACACAGAGAGACACAGAGAGACACAGGTACATATAGACACAGAGAGACACAGGTACATATAGACACAGAGAGACACAGGTACATATAGACACAGAGAGACACAGGTACATATAGACACAGAGACACAGGTACATATAGACACGGAGCGACACAGGTACATATAGACAGAGAGAGACACAGGTACATATAGACACAGAGAGACACAGGTACATATAGACACAGAGACACAGGTACATATAGACACAGAGAGACACAGACATATAGACACAGAGAGACACAGATACATATAGACACAGAGAGACACAGGTACATATAGACACAGAGAGACACAGGTACATTTAGACACAGAGAGACACAGGTACATTTAGACACAGAGAGACACAGGTACATATAGACACAGAGACACAGGTACATATAGACACAGAGAGACACAGGTACATATAGACACAGAGACACAGGTACATATAGACACAGAGACACAGGTACATATAGACACAGAGAGACACAGGTACATATAGACACAGAGACACAGGTACATATAGACACAGAGACACAGGTACATATAGACACAGAGAGACACAGGTACATATAGACACAGAGAGACACAGGTACATATAGACACAGAGAGACACAGGTACATATAGACACAGAGAGACACAGGTACATATAGACACAGAGAGACACAGGTACATATAGACACAGAGAGACACAGGTACATATAGACACAGAGAAACACAGGTTTATTATTTGTTTATTTATTTAGATCCCCATTAGCTACTGAAATAAAACAGTAGCTATTCTTCCTGGGGTCTTAAAAATTTCTTAACAGATATTACATCAAAGCTGTGCAACAATGAAGACAAACACAGAAGTGCACACGAACACATATACAAGGAACATGACAATACAATATAACGTATACAGACAACATATACACATACATATACACGCATATAAACACACATAAACATATATACACACACATATAACATAACATAACATAAAACAGTACAAGCTCTTCTATACAAAATATTGCCACCCTCTGGGTATTAAAAAGAAAAGAAGAAAAAAAAATAAAAGTTACTATAGCTCATTATAAAGTACATATTAATTGCATAACTATTACAGTTACTCCAAAGTAAATAAATACAGTCTAAGTCTTTTGGAAAAACTGATATTGTGAATCTCTAAAACCAAGAATTGCGGGAGCGAGTTCCATGCCACCATTGCCCTATAGCACGATGTCCTCTGAAGTTGATTTGTTCGACAGGCAGGTAACAAAAAACGGCCTTCGCTTGATTGGCGAGTGAAATGATAATGAATGTTACTAAAAAAAGTCAATTTATTATAAATTATTTCAGGTACATATAGACACAGGTACATATAGACACAGGTACATATAGACACAGGTACATATAGACACAGGTACATATAGACACAGAGAGACACAGGTGAAACACATCAGGGCGGGACGGACCATCAAGGCGGGGGAACAAGAAAGGAAGTAAAACTAATAATGAAACCACAGAGAACTAAAATACAAGAAAACAAAAAATCCACATCATGAAATGAGCAGGAGTTAAATAAATCCCTTTAGTAACAAAGTGAAGGGGGTTGAATACTTTCTTTCTGTCTGATGCGGCCCCTTTGAATGTCACATGTTTAAATCCCCCTCAAGTGAGACGTCCTTGAGGGGGATTTCATCCAAGTCCATCCAGTTCAGCTTTACCATTCGGCTTCTAAAGTTTGCGCATCATTTGAGCCAAACCGATAAATAACTTCTGTTACTTCAGATCGATGGTGATGTCCAAATGATATTGGTTTCGAATTTGGCTCGCTCAAGATCTTTTCATTCACTATCCCCTGCCACTTTCAGAATGAACTTTGGATTCTGCGGTGGGGGTTGTCGGGGTAAATCTCGCGTCAATCTCCGTTCCTCGGACAATAGTTGGCTGCGGCGTTGATACCCGGACGGTTGGAGCTGTCTTCTGGCACGCCGACTTGCTTCTTGTTTCCACAGTAGAGAACAATGCCAGCCCAACAAACTCCGGTCATATGCGACGCACTGTCTGCCAATCTGTGAATCTGGCTCCTGGCTGAAGACGAGATGCCCATAATTCAGCCAAGCGATTACTCTGGGCAATTACCAAAAGCTCCGAGCTAAAACCACCCTTAATATGGCAACGAATTATTAAACTCCACCGCAGTGAATGCAAATGTTTCATAATACATTTGTGTCTTTTCAACTACTGTTATAGCTGTAATAGATTTTCTTTTTGAATGGTAATGTCTTCAGAATGTATTGTTTTCTGAGACAATCTGATTATAGACCGCCGAAATGTCCAGAAGTGCATTTGCAGCGAGTCACAGGTTAAACTGTCCAATTTGAAACCTTCATTTTGATTCACAAAGCAGGGATTAGGGGTAATGTTGAAACTGTATGTTAAAACCGACAATTCTTTTTCAATTATGGACAAAACAATTGACGTTAAGCTGCAGCAGGTGTCCCTCAAATGAATCTACAATACAAGAATAATGTATCGCTGAAAACAAAGAGACCCTAATCCCTGATGGACTCGCTTCTCTAATAATATATTGTTTTCAGGATTAGGACTAAGCTAATGTTGTAATGAAAGCATAGTTTTATTAGGAAAAGGCTTAACCCCACAAGCTGCAGGGTCCATCCTTACTGTTGCAGCTTCAAGTGAAAAAAAGTCAGTATTTCACACTATAATAATGAATATATACATTTATTTTCAGAAAACCTTTTATGTGTTTTTGAAGTGTAAAGTCAAGTGTGGAGGGAGAAAGAAAGCATTTGACTGTAAACGGCTGTGATTGGGAGTCAAAGCACCTCTCCAATGGTTTAGCTGTTCGACTTACTGATATTACTGCGGATGATTATGCCAAATGTGAATAAAAATGTATTTAAAAAAACAAATAGTAAATAAATACCGACATCACTAAGAGTAAAATGATTGATCTTACTGAAATACCATCAAACAAATCCACCGTATCTACTGCTTTTGTTACTCACCTATATCCTGAATTACATGCTCAGGTCTAAAAAACCCAGTACTTGAGAAAACATAAGAATAATAGAAATAATAATGAATCCATTTTTATTTTTTCCCTCAAAGATGCTTCACATGGCAATATTCATTCACACACACGGGACCCATTCTAGGCAATGGGGGTGACGTGTCTTGCCTAAGGACACAACAACAGTTTGGCACTTCACAGCCGCAGCCGCCCCAGAGCTTCCAGATCAATTCAATTTCGATTTATTGTATTCTTATAGTGCCCTAAATCACAACAGAAGTTATTTTGGAAACTTTTGAATTCTCCAACACAGATTAGAGAATCAAACAGTTCCAACACAAGACATATGAAAACACACATTGGTCCATAAGGGACAGAGACCAATGTCTTAAGTGTCCCAGAGGTCTCCCATCACAATTCAATTCATTATTAATTATATGTATCATTTATATGTTTCAACAACAAGCCATTTCCAGTTGGCCAATCAACAAGAGAGCATCAGGTTCTCAAAGGTACTGCAGTAAAGAAAACACTGGAAAAAACCCTTAAACTACTTGAAGACTACTTAAAATAAGAAAAAAAGGATCTGGCAATAAAACAGGGAAATATGACTTGACAAGATTTACGAAAATAAGAAATTAATAATAGCCCAAAATTCCTTGATTCTAGTATAAAAAACATCCATTTCACGTATTATTTACTTATTTCATTTTTGAGACCTTTTTTATAAAATTATAGCACAAACTTATTTTATCTAAACAAGACAAAATACTTAAAAAAAACTTAAAAACTCACTGTTAACCCCTTTTTCTCTAATAGGATTATGAAGTATTATCTAAAAAACTAGTAAAATAATCTTAAGTGACAAACAAGCACAAAACACTTTCTATTAAAAAACTAAGGATTATTTGTTAGTTTCAGAGAATTAATCCAACCAAGATTTACCTTGTTCCACATATAAGATAATAGGCCTCTAATCTCCCTCTCATTGACCATAGCCCCTTCCTCTCTGAAACGGCCCCTCCCTCTTTGAAATGGCCCCTCCCTCTCTGAAGCGGCCCCTCCCTCTCTGAAGCAGCCCCTCCCTCTCTGAAACGGCCCCTCCCTCTCTGAAGCAGCCCCTCCCTCTCTGAAGTGGCCCCTCCCTCTCTGAAGCAGCCCCTCCCTCTCTGAAGTAGCCCCTCCCTCTCTGAAGCAGCCCCTCCCTCTCTGAATCAGTCCCTCCCTCTCTGAATCAGTCCCTCCCTCTCTGAATCAGTCCCTCCCTCTCTGAAACGGCCCCTCCCTCTCTGAATCGGTCCCTCCCTCTCTGAATCAGTCCCTCCCTCTCTGAATCAGTCCCTCCCTCTCTGAGACGGTCCCTCCCTCTCTGAATCAGTCCCTCCCTCTCTGAAACGGCCCCTCCCTCTCTGAAACGGCCCCTCCCTCTCAGAAACGGTCCCTCCCTCTCTGAAGCGGCCCCTCCCTCTCTGAAGCAGCCCCTCCCTCTCTGAAGCAGCCCCTCCCTCTCTGAAGCAGCCCCTCCCTCTCTGAAGCAGCCCCTCCCTCTCTGAAGCAGCCCCTCCCTCTCTGAAGCAGCCCCTCCCTCTCTGAATCAGTCCCTCCCTCTCTGAAACGGCCCCTCCCTCTCAGAAACGGTCCCTCCCTCTCTAAAACGGTCCCTCCCTCTCTGAAACGGCCCCTCCCTCTCTGAAACGGCCCCTCCCTCTCTGAAGCAGCCCCTCCCTCTCAGAAACGGTCCCTCCCTCTCTGAAACGGCCCCTCCCTCTCTGAAACGGCCCTGTATCTTCAAACTGACTGCAAACAAAGCAAATGGTGCCGTCTCTTTCAGATGAAGGTGTTCCATAAATCATGCACCATCACTGCTGCTCTTTGCTCTCTTTCTCACACACAGAACTTTGCACAAGGTCCAATTAAAAGAACCCACTCTGCTCCAAACGAGAGTTTGACGTGAATTATTCAACAAGGTGCAGGAAAATGACTCGTCGCTCTTTAACACGCTGTAAGGACATGAATTATGAGCCTAATCTCCCTTTTCTCACACACACAGGAGGCAGGAGGAGGCAGGAGGAGGCAGGAGGAGGCGGGAGGAGAAGGGAGGAGGCGGGAGGAGGCGGGAGGAGACGGGAGGAGACGGGAGGAGGCGTGGAGAGGTGGGGGGGAGGTGGAAGGAGGTGAGGCCCGAGGAGCAGCTTTTCAACAAAAGATTTACATCAATAATATCCAGAGGAATCGGAATATATGAGGAAGTATAGTGAAACTACTACTACTACACTAATGACTACTACTACTACTACACTAATGACTACTACTACTACTACACTAATGACTACTACTACTACTACACTAATGACTACCACTACTACTACACTAATGACTACTACTACTACGACTACTACTACTACTACACTAATGACTACTACTACTACTTCACTAATGACTACTACTACTACTACACTAATGACTACTAGTACTACTACACTAATGACTACTACTACTACTACTACACTAATGACTACTACTACTACGACTACTACTACTACTACACTAATGACTACTACTACTACGACTACTACTACTACTACACTAATGACTACTACTACTACAACTACTACTACTACTACTACTACAACTACTACTACTACTACACTAATGACTACTACTACTACTACACTAATGACTACTACTACTACTACACTAATGACTACTACTACTACTACTACAACTACTATTACTACTACACTAATGACTACTACTACTACTACTACTACTTTATGACAATGACAAACTGATTCTCTGATCTGTGTTGATAATTTCAATGGTTTTGTTAAGTCTCTGAAATAACTACTGTTGTGATTTAGGGCAATGGAAGAATAAATGTTATTGAATCTAATTGAACGACTACTATGACAATAACGTCTACTACTACTACTACTAATACTAATACTATACTACTACTTTTATTCTGCTTAACTTTAATTTTACATTTAGATCTGTTAAACAATTGGTATCTTTTTTGTGCTTTTTGTTCCTTGTTTTGTGAGTCACTTTGAGAATCTCTGTGAATTCTTCTAACCCTCGCTGTTAGCAAACAACAGCCCTGATTCTAACCACAGAACCACGACCTCTGCCCATGACCCGGGTCGGCACGGGTCAGTCCGAATATGAGGAGTTTAGCAGCGTTTCCTTATCATCGTGTGAGAGGAGCAGGAGTGGGATCTTACAGGGTCATGTCCACACATCACCTGCTGCTGCTGCTACTGCTGCTGCTACTGCTGCTGCTACTGCTGCTGCTGCTGCTGCTGCTGCTACTGCTGCTGCTGCTGCTGCTGCTGCTGCTGCTACTGCTGCTGCTGCTGCTGCTGCTGCTACTGCTGCTGCTGCTGCTGCTGCTGCTGCTGCTACTGCTGCTGCTACTGCTGCTGCTGCTGCTGCTGCTGCTGCTGCTGCTGCTGCTGCTGCTGCTCACTCTGACCCTGAGGAAGTCAAGAGCTGAGTCTGATGTCCTTCAGCTGTTACCCAATTTGCAACGCACCAGTCCTTCGCTGATCCTCCTGCAGGTGGTGGGTCCACAGGAAGATGGCTGCTGCTTCAATGAAGACGCGGCCTTGGTCTTGCCCAGTGTCTTGCCCAGGGACACAACTGAGCCACTGTCGCCCCATGGTATAGAGTAATTTCGGCAGTTAAATATGATGTGGAGACTATTTACTCATCATGTAATTCAATGTAAAACATGTATTGTGCCTTTTAATAAGACCAAAGTGTCAAAAGAAGCTTGTTCTGATTCTTGTCTTCTGACTTCTTTACACTTATACCTTCTAAGTCATAATGTAATGTTTAAGAATATAATCTTGTGTCAAAAATATTTAATGAAACCACCAGATACAAAAACTTTCAGATTCAGACAACTTTACTAATCCCATTAAGGACAAGTTGTTTGAGCAGAACATAAAGATAAAAAACATATAAAAATAACATGAAATAAATAACATAGAAACACAGGAAATGTTAAACTTAAAATCAGTTAAATAGACTTGAGAGCTGGGTGCAGAGCTGTCCATGGTTCTGAACGTATATTTCTTCAAAACCATGTTGCATTTGAAATATTGAAAAAATCTAGTGTAAATGAGACTAGTTTATCCTTTGCCAATCTCAAAACTTGTGACTTGAAGTTTTGTGTAGAACTTTTCCATAACCTTAGGGTTAGGGTGACTTGAAGTTTTGTGTAGAACTTTTCCATAACCTTTGGGTTAGGGTGACTTGAAGTTTTGTGTAGAACTTTTCCATAACCTTAGGGTTAGGGTGACTTGAAGTTTTGTGTAGTACTTTTCCATAACCTTATTTTAACGATAAAGCATTGCCACCTCTTCACACTATTAAGTATTGAGTATTTCTTCTTTCACTTCTTTCCTCTGCTTCTGTTCCTGCAGCAGCGTTGCTATACCGTCAGGAGCACTCCATGAGCACACTCTCAGGCCTCCTCTTCAAATTAACCTTTAAATCAAAGATGGACCTCTCTCCTTTCGTCCACAGCATCTCTCCCACACCTTGTCCTCCGGGCGAATTAATAAAACCTTAATTTCCTCATTAGCCCTGTCAATTCATGCAGGCAGTAATGGCCAAGCGGGCAAGTGCTCTCATACAGACAGAACCCTCTATTCACAATGGCTTTTTTACAGTCGTGTGTGTGTGTGAGTGTGTGTGTGTGGGTGTGTGTGTGTGTGTGGCTGCAGGGTTTTGGTAACAACATGTTTTTGACCTCTGAGCAGTATATACAGGGGCTGCTCACCTTCGCTAACCCCAAATCCCTCACTCTGGCTGGGTCCCGGGAGAGCAGGCCGGCTGTCACTGGAACACACAGGGTCATGTCCAGGCCATTATTTTACAGGCTTTAACAAACCAGGGGGCTGGCCGCTACAAGTTCCCAATTACAGACCTGGATTTTATGACTTTGTTTTGATTGCAGTGGAGGCGGGTGAAGGGATTTTTAGTAGTTGAAACAATGGGAGATTTTTGTTAATTCGTCGGGCTGAAAAGGAAATGTGGAGAGATGTAGGCCGTGGCTTCATTCCAAACACGGTAATGATTGTTTTGTATTTTTTTTTGCTTTTTAATGTTTTATTTTTCATTCAAACAGGAGAAGAACAGAAAATAAGGAAGATGATAATAATTCTAAACTCTCTAATCTAATCTCTCTCTCTCTCTCTCTCTCTCTCTCTCTCTCTCTCTCTCTCTCTCTCTCTCTCTCTCTCTCTCTCTCTCTCTCTCTCTCTCTCTCTCTCTCTCTCTCTCTCTCTCTCTCTCTCTCTCTCTCTCTCTCTCTCTCTCTCTCTCTCTCTCTCTCTCTCTCTCTCTCTCTCTCTCTCTCTCTCTCTCTCTCTCTCACTCACCACTCACTCACTCATACTCACCTCACTCACTCACTCACTCACCACTCACTCACTCACTCTCTCTCCTCACCACTCACTCACTCACTCACTCACTCACTCACTCACTCACTCACCACTCACTCACTCACTCACTCACTCACTCACTCACTCACTCACTCACTCACTCACTCACTCACTCACTCACTCACTCACTCACTCACTCACTCACTCACTCACATCACTCACTCTCAAAGTCTAGTTTCCGTTATGCAATCCCCACAGATATATTTCAGTATTTGTTATGGCCTGCAGCCACACGGCCGCACATGTACAGGGCTCCAGCAGAGCTCCGGATGTGGACATCAGTGCTCTCAGGGCAGGTGCACTGGGTGAGAGGGAGGGGAACACTCTCTTTGTAAATACATCCTGACAGTATTTCAGAGTTGTGCTGCTGCAGTGTTGTGTACAGAGAGTATGTGATGTATTACTGACTCATAAACACAGGAATCACAGACGACCCCACTGTATTGCCCAACACTCGTGGACATTGGTCATCTGCCCCTTATATCGACCAATACCAATGTGTTTTCTTTGCAATTCTTGTGTTTGAAATGCTTGATTCGCTGATCTGTGCGAACTTAAACGGTTTTGTAAAGTCCTTTAAGATATCTACTGTTGTGATTTAGGGCAATACAAAAATAAATTCCTGCTTGACAATCCTTTATAATAACTTTACATCATGATTAATGCATTAACTACTGCGTCTCTCCTATTTGGAAAACTATTCAGTAGTATTAATGAAGATTCATGCATTACCTCATGTTGTACAATTCACATGATGACGATCATGTTGAGTTTCTCAGTGAACACAAACTCATTATGATGGATAGATAGATAGACATATACGTTATTGATCCCCGCAGGAGAGATTCAGATGTTCAGTAGCAGCAAAAATCTAAATAAATAAAATTGCTCATTCTCAAAAGCTAACAATAGTAAAATTCAGCAACAGCCTCAGGACACAGCGATTCATTCCTAATTAAGAAAGTATCTGTTGTCATAGCGCCATGTCTCACAGAACACTGTCTTCTTCTAAGGATTAAGGGAAGAAGAAGCTAGAACATGGCCTCTCCTTTGCCTCCTGCAGACTAATAAACAGCCTCCATGGATACAGTCTCACACCCCCATGTTCTTTCAGTAGAGCAGGGCAAATGTTTAGATCTCTTCTTTCTTTGGCTATGATGTCACCGAAAAACAGTCATAGAATATAGGTTAGATAATGAACAGTCTTTCTTAAAATGTGAGACAGGATTCTTCTCTGACAATGGTTAAATCCAGGTAAAAAAAAAACAACTGAGGGATTTTACCTTTAATATTTGTAATGTACTGTGATTATTTATGACCTGAATTCCTTGTGTGCTTGTGTAACCGTAGCTAGTTATCTCAGGTTCAGGATTGCAAATGGTTTAACAATATTTATTGATTACAAAAGTTACTGAGGAGCCATGGCCACGCACGACTATCAACCAGTGGCCGTGGTAGCGTCTGCAACAGAGGGCAGACAGAAATATTCACATTAACCCACGGCTGACAGTGAATTAAACAACAGGGAAAACCTACCCGGCATCTGCTCGAAATCTGGGCAAACGAGTGAGGCCTGATAGCAGCTTCCCTTCATGTGCAATGGGGTGTCTATAAGTAGTGTCACTGATCGGAGCCAATCTGGAAGTGTGAGGGGAGGGGCGTGTGTGCCGGGTGATGTATTGTATGGTAGCCAGGAAGGGACAATCTACCTGCGCTACACTTGCTTCTATCTTGTTTCGTTCAGCAGTTTAAGTTGCCTTGTGTATGAACTGTGCTTTACAAATAATCTTGCCTCGCCTTTCCCTCCGGTTTCAGAACACAACCTCCAAATGCCTGATGGCAAACAAACAAACCTTTAATGAAATCTTTTGCCACAGAACAGCCAATACCACATGAAACTCTACAATCAAACCAAATTTGACATCAAAACTCTGCCTTTGATGTCTGTTAACGTGTTGACAAGAACGGCACGCTCAATTAGAAAACCCCAGAAGAACTTTGTCACACTTAATTTGCCCGCATGTATGAAAAGTGACATCTGTGGAGCCATGCGACTTAAGGAAACAGTTAACTTGTCTTAAACGCGCACAAGGGGGAAGAGAATGAGCATTTGGGGCTGGGGGAGGAGGGGGGAGGATGGGGGAGCGCTGGGAGGAGATGCTGTTCTTTGTTGTGGAGGTATTTGTGGGACTCACAGCGGCACACTGCAGGCTCACGCTGTCAACACACGCTTTTAATGTCCCAACTTCTCCCAAAGAGACATCAAACAGCTCTACCCGCCGTGCGCAGATTAATTTTATTTTTATGCTTATCTTTAGAAGAAAGCTAATTATTAACAGTGACAGGCTAGGGGAACAGCGGTAGGCAAACAAAGTAGCCGCTTGTAACTTTGTAAATACACAAGACTGAAGCGGGAGAAGGAGCTCGGGAGAGAATCGGTTTGAGAGCTGGGACGGGAGCTGTCCATGGTGCTGAATGTTTTCCCTTACTCTACTACGATCTCTTAGGCTGCTTCTTGATATTCTCGCGTTGAGAACTATTGATTTATATGACCTTTTCTAACGGTCTTGAATTATTTGGCTCTAAATCCATAACCACTGAACCAGCTACGACAAGAGTGAAGCGCTGTTTCCTTAGGGTAGAAGAAAACAACATTTAAGAATCATAGATCGGGCTGATCCGTCTGACTGACCACAAACAATCATGTAATGGATGGAAAAATAGTAGGAATTAAATAACATAAATACAAAAAATGGAGGTAAGAGGAGATTAAAATCATGAAGCAGGACACATGGACCATTAACAACGATTAACAACTCACTTCTCCAGAGAACATAATAATAATAATAATAATAATAATAATAATAATACATCTAACTTGTAAGCGCTTTTTTGGACACTCAAAAACGCTTCACATGGAGAATAAAATACAGTAATTAAAAAAGGGGTTTACAGAAAAGCTTGTTTGAAAAGATGGGTTTTGAGACTGATTTAAAGTTTGGTAGTGAGTCCAAGTTTTTAATGGGCAGGGGGAGTGAGTTCCAGAGGGTTGGGGCAGCTATGGAAGAGGCTCTGTCCCCCAAGGTCCGGCGGTTAGTGCGGGTGATGGGGCTGAGGAGGTTGGAATCGGCTGAGCGAAGGCGGCGGGTGGGTTGATGCTGTTGTAGGAGCTCAGTAAGGTAGGGCGGGGCCAGGTTATGGAGTGACAGGCGGCCTCCGGGTACAACAACTGATAACAAACACAACATTACGTGTCACCTCTGACGAAACATACCCGATGATTTAGCGGCACTAGTTTCTCTACACTCGTCTTAGTAGAAAAACCTTCAAAGCTTTACACAAAAACTATGCTCAAGACATTTACACACAACACAAATCCTGTTTATTTCCGCAACACCTGTCACTCTCTGCTGCTCACATAAACACAAGTGAAGCAGGAATGTCTGCTACGTCCCCTGCTCTGAAGATTGGACATTGGTCTCTGCCCCTTGTGGACCAATGGCTCCTTTTGGTTTTTTAACATTGCATTTCTTGAGTTTGAGCTGTTTGATTCTGTGTTGCAGAACTCAATGGTTTTGTGAAGTCACCGCTGTGATGTAGGGCTTTAACAAAATAAATGGAATTGAATTGAATAGAGCTGTGTCTAAATCCCTTTCTACCCCAAAATAAAAATACATACGTTATTCATATTTGGACAATTATAGCTATTATTTCTTTGGACCACAACATTTGTTTTATTACTGTTTTTCTGAACCCAATCCCTCCCTATACAGAAACCACGAAATATGTTGCGCAATCATCCCGTTCCATACATTTTGTCAGATGTGTAAATAACTATAGTAGAACAACAACGCCTCCTGCACCGAAGAAGAAGATATACTTTAGATTTACTAGCCCCAAACTTTTCTCAAATCTCAACTTTGTCAGATTGAACTCACTTGTCACCTCTGTCTTGCGTAATCCCTGCTTTGCCATGATCCTGGAAAAAAAAAAACCCCGCACCAAATAATGTTTTTAAAGACGAGGCACTTTGAAAATGTTTAGCACAGGGAAACCTTTTGAGGCGGCACAGATGTTGGTGTGCCTTCTCTGCTTCCTCCTCCTCTTCTTCCTCCTCCTCCTCTTCCTCCTCCTCCTCCTCCTCTTAGTTTTTCAAAGGCCTGATAAGATGTGACAGTCTATCAAACCTCAGTCAGCCTCTTATAGCATCCGGGCTGCAGTTATTGCCGTGGCATTTTGCAGCTGATATAACAGAGAATCAATTATGAGTACACAGATATGCAAACGGTTTGGTGGGCACAGCCGAAAGATATGGCCGGATATTGTGTGGAGTGAAAGAGAGGATTTTCTGATTGGGCTCCTGAATGTTTTGCCCCGCCTCCCCCCTCCCTGTCTTTTCTTCGGCAGCGGAGAGGCTTTCACACCTGCATCCGATGTTCACTTGTCATTCTGGGCTCAAAACTCTGGTTCAGACTCCACTTCTCTGTCGGAACTTGTTGAACTACGTTGGCTTGTGAGTTTTTTCACTGTCTTTCCTTTTGTATTTTTGCTTACCGTTTTTTTGTCCTGTGCTCAGGTCGGAACTTCCAGGTGTTTCTTTCTTGTTTTCTTGAGCACTTTGAGATGCCTTGTGTAGGACCTGTGCTATACAAATTACCTTGCCTCTCTTGTGTCCACTTCCCGCTTGCTTTTCTGTTTTTATATCTTTATTAAACCACTTTTTGAAAGGGGAATCCAACCACTTCTCTGTCTCTGCTTGGGGGTCCAAACACTATTATAATAAAATTGATCTAACAAGTTTATTTTTAGTGGTAACTTTATTGATAATTGTATTGGCCCAGAGAGAGAGAGAGTCAAGTCAAGGAGGCCATTGTGATTTGGAAAACGGAGGTACTAACTGTAAACTGTCACACTGGGATACGTCATCTGTATTTGTATTTTATTTTTCTTTACTTAAGGACAGTAAAAATCAAGCCAACAGCAATATAAGCGCAACAAAATCACAAAGCAAGCACAAAAATGACAAAGACATACAACAAAAAACAAACAAAAACAAAACAAAAAACAGACAAAACAAAGGATTATTCACATTCACACAAAAACAAAAAAAATACATGTATCTCCAATGTAAAGGCACCAAGAATTTTATCCCACATTTTTAGTGCCTTTTGTTTTTCTGTTTTAACTGAGCATTCTTCTACATTTTGACGGTGCTCAACATAATTAATAAATATTGCAGCATTTAAAGATCTTTCGTTACTTGACTAAAATATGAAATGATTCCCTGTGAGACTAAATAAATTCCACACATGGATTCTAAAGAGTTGGCCTGCAGATGCTCTAAGTAGCTATCTATCACACATGCTATTGGTTTGCTCTTGTTGGGTGAAAGGGTGGGACTATAATCAAAAGTTAAAACAAAGCGGTTTGCCTTTAAGCAGAAAGCCAAACCTGAGTGAATTATTCAGACACACCTTTATGGACAGTTAAAGCAACAGGCCTCCCAGGCTTCACAGCTGTTTTTGATAGACTTTCAGCCGCAAACACTTCAAACAAGCAGGAAAAAGGTATGCAGCAAATCCCAAAGGCTTTGCAATCAAATGAGCTGCAAAAGGCCCCGGACTCTTCTACCTGTGGCGGTGGCGGTGGCGTTGGCGGTGGCGGTGGCGGTGGCAGAGGGCACAGACGAGCCCGGACACATCAAGAGGACTTCAGAAGCTTCTCGACCTCCGTGACTTTGTCCATGCATCGCTTTTCAAATGCACGAATTAACACACATTTGGAATACAGACAGAAACATGGACTGGGAATCTGAACAGGATGAGAAGTGGTAAAACATTTATAACATGTGTATATATATTATTCCCATGATTTACTTTTTCTTTATCAGGAAACATGTACATTTAAACAAGTTTGGAATATAAACAGTACTACAAAGCTTTGCCCTTCAATGTATACAATTGAGAAAATTAAAATGAAACAAAAAACTAACTATAGAGTAGATACATTGATTGTTTTATCTGCTCTAAGTCAAGCAACAAACAGTCTCCATAATTCAATTCCCAAAACATATCAAATGCATCTATTTCAAGTCTCATGTAGTACAGGTGGAACTCAGAACTTGTTCAAAAGTTAATCAGAAAGTTTGTGATCCGGGCGCCAGAACTCCCCACATTAACGACAAAACAAGGAATAAAACCAGGATTTCTATCTTTGTGAAAAAGGTGTTGGTTATAGATTTGTTGTTGACAAAACTCTTGTCTATTCAGCTGTTATGGTCCCAGCTGGATTTGTCTGCATATCTGGCAACCTGAGTCAGGGAGAGTGGGAGAGGCTGCAGTACCACTTTAGGCCAGATTTTTACATACTGCTCCTTTAACATGTGAAACCAATATATATGACAAAAACTCATTAAATGCAACATGACATATACCTTTGATTTTTAAAATGTTTATGATCATGGCTGACAGTCCAGCTGTGAGACAATGAGCAATAATTGAAATTTGATGAATATGTATTATTTATCTGTTATTGTTAATTGTTATGTATTATTATCATAATAATAATAATAATAATAATTATTATTATTATTAATACTTATGAGTCTGGGAGCACTTTTTTTGTTCTCTTTTTGTTTTTTCCCAGACTGAAAATGAATGGTAGATTGTATGTGGTGGAGGTGGTGGTGTGATGGACCCCTAATGCATAAGCTTGTGCTTCTGGGAGTTCCATTTTCACAATTTAGCACATGAACTTTTAGGGACTGTGTGAAATTGTGAATAAACTAAACTAAACCATACAGCTTTGGAATAACTCACTTTGGAATGAGGCTGTCGTATAATTCACACTGTACGTTGGAATTCAGTAAATTGACTTTTAACAAAATTCTAGCTTAGAGTTCCACCTGTAGTACGCAGCTCATAAATTCTATGGACAACATTAAAGCAGTGGTTGATTGAGGGAACTCACTGAGCCATCTCCTGGTAACACTCTTCTTTACTGCAGCCATATATCGGGCTCGGTAAATGTATCTGTTCCTCTGTCCTTCAAGTCGGAAAGGTTTGTCACCAAGGTCCAGCGTTGTAAAAGTGTGCGGTAAAGCAACACTAATAACCTTTTCTGTTCTGTGTTTACCTGCAGCCGAAAGCATGAGCGAGAGCTTTGTGAGGACAAGGACATCCTGCAATTTATAAATGCATAAAAACAAAACAAATTCAAAGCACCACCTTCCTAATGTATGTCAGTCCATCATGGCTTTGTTTTACTAAATGTACAGCAGAACATCAGTGGGGGCAGATCCCGGCTCCAAAAGGTCCATGAGCACGTGTACTGACATGCTGCAATCTCACTCCGGGCAGGTGGGGGTGTACCCGGAAAATGAATTACCCAATGCTTTTGTATGGCGCCTTTTTTACTCTGGACAACGTCTTTACAGGATGGTCACAAAAGTCGCTCTTGGTCCAAATTGGTTCCAGATGCTGTCGATGCTGAGGGGAGTGTTTTTTTTTTTTTGGACCACTCTAGTTTAGCCGCTGTGGACTTTTGAATTCACAATTAATTGAGCTACAGTATATGCGCGAATGTGTTTATTCACATTTTCCTGCCCCGTGGCCATTTTGAAAACGCCATCAAAAGTGGTGGCACAATAGATTTGACGGCGGAGATAGGAGTCACTACGTCCGTTAATATTTACAGTTTATGGTCTATACGCAATTAGAGTTAACCTCCTTTTTTGGGGCGTTGAAATCTACTACTGAATGTGGAGTTGAAATAAATTAATGGTTGCTCACTGTGTCCACAGTAGAGGAGGCTGTGGGTACGGGGGTTTCCTTTCTACAGCACTCAATGTTTTGCTTGTGGGGCTATTCCATGTGGTGGGGATGTGTTTTCTGTTTTTCAATAAAAGCCTGTGTGTTCAAAGCGTCAGGAAGGTGATGGTATGGAGCTGGGATTGGAAGACCTGAAATCCTCCTTGCTACACACAAGTAAAAAACAAACCACTTGTGTGTTTGTGTGCATTGTATCCAGGTTAAACGGTAAGAATCAGCTTTCACAGTAGGAGGGGCCGGTTGTGAATGGGTAGTAGCCCTTACTCAATAAGTCCCGCCTCCAACTTCCCTAAACAATGGACATAGGGCGATTCAATCCAACTCAACTTATTTTTGTTTTGCCCTAAATTACAACAGAAGTTATCTCAGAGAACTTTGCTAAAAAAAAAAAAAATTATAAAACAAGTTCCCAAAGTTCTGCACAGAGATAAAAGTAACACATTTAAATATACAAGTTTGCCAGCATCATATGTAAAAAAAAAAAAAAAAAACATGAATAAATAGAAAAAGTAAAACATTATGTATGCAATAAAAACAATAGAACTCAAGAAATGCAACGATAGAAAAAACACGTAGGTCCGTAAAAGGGGGCAGATGACCAATATCCATAAATGTTGATAAATGTCCATAAATGTGGTTGTATGTTGCGTGACCTGGATCATGGTCCTGGATGTTTGTGTCCTGTGCTCTGTAATGATGTCTTTGGAGCGTGGTAATTTAAATCAGGGCATTGAAGCCAGAGTTAATTTAAAGTCTATCAACAATGTAATTACTCAGGTTTGCTCTGACAGTGCTCATAGCTCGTCGGAACATACTTTTGCTCTGTTGTCGTGCCAGTGTGTGGTCAGCTGTCCCTTTGCTCTACACAGAGGGACACTGGGCTTGTTTGTCCGTAAACACCGGGTCAACACCGAAGAATTATTGTGTTTGAGGTTTTTGTGTGAGTTTCTGGCTTCAAACTGAGCGTCTTCATGAAGCAGACAGTTCTTTGTTGTTCCTTCTCTGTTTGTCAGACGCACATTTCTGAGCTAAAGAGCATCAACTGGGTTTGAGACGATGCAGGCATGCTCAGAAAATCAATCACAACAATTCAAATCTAAAATTCTCAAACGAGAGAACACACTGAATAGTTAAAGGTACACTCGCTGGAACTTCAAATAGGCTTAAGTTTGTGTACACTTTCATTCGTACGTAGTTGTTATGTTGTAGTTGTGGCAGGCTAATGAGGTAGGATCCATAAACCCTGTTTGGACAGAGACGCTGCAAAGAAATTAGCAAAAACAACCATGCTCCAGGCACAGCGTTTAGATGACCACGGAACACAATGTAGTTCTAGCGCCCAGCCAGTAGGGGGCAGTGTAACTATACCCAGCAGTATAGGCAAGGCAAGGCAAGTTTATTTATATAGCACAATTCATACACAAGGCAACTCAAAGTGCTGAACAAAACAAGAAAGCATTAAAATCATAAATAATCACAGAATATTAAAAAGAAAGATAAAAATATAAAATCCCTCAGTTGTATGCACAGCTAAACAGAACTGTCTTTAACCTGGTTTTAAACATTGTCAGAGAGGAGGCCTGTCTCACATCTTCAGGAAGACTGTTCCAGATTTTAGCAGCATGAATCTGAAAAGCAGCCTCCCCATGTTTAGTTCTGACTCTGGACACTAACAGGAGTCCAGTCCCTGTGCTCCTCAGAGTCCCAGCAGGAGTCCAGTGCCTGTGCTCCTCAGAGTCCCAGCAGGAGGCCAGTCCCTGTGCTCCTCAGAGTCCCAGCAGGAGACCAGTCCCTGTGCTCCTCAGAGTCCCAGCAGGAGTCCAGTCCCTGTGCTCCTCAGAGTCCCAGCAGGAGTCCAGTCCCTGTGCTCCTCAGAGTCCCAGCAGGAGGCCAGTCCCTGTGCTCCTCAGAGTCCCAGCAGGAGTCCAGTCCCTGTGCTCCTCAGAGTCCCAGCAGGAGTCCAGTCCCTGTGCTCCTCAGAGTCCGGGCTGGTTCATATGGGACTAACATGTCACTAATATATTTTGGTGCGAGGCCATGGAGAGAATTGTAACAAGCAGAGCTGTTTTAAAGTCTATTCTCTGAGCCACAGGAAGCCAGTGCAGAGACCTGAGAACTGCACTAATGTGGTCGTACTTCCTGGTTCTAGTCAGGACTAATGTGGTCGTACTTCCTGGTTCTAGTCAGGACTCGAGCTGCTGCATTTTGAATGTACTGCAGCTGTATAACTACTTCCTCAACAACATCCTCCTCAGGCCGCCACAAAGACGTAAAAGAAAGACCCAACATAATTCTGCAGTTGTGAAAATGGAAAATACAACTTTGGGTGGTTTAGTTCGGACGAAGGAGTAGAATCCTCCTCCGTGTAGCTCTCAAAGCACACGTAGCTACTTAGTGTACCTGTCGTCCTTGTTTACGTTTGTTCTCGGCTACTGCACATGTCCAAATGTTCGTGGGGGGGAGTGGTGAGGTCACAGGAGCAGAGAATTCCCAACTTTTTCTTCACACTGCTGTGTTCCCCTCTGGAGGCTGGTTCTCAACATCGTCATCATGTAAGACTTCAACATTTTACTGTTTAAACACCACCTTAGACCTACCCCCAACCTCAGCAATCTTAGACATTAGATGTGTTAAAGATTTAGTCTCAGGATCAGGGGGTCTCTGACCACACTCACAGGTTATAAATGTCCTTCCCTGGTTTTGTCTCCATTACCAGAAGATCCTACACCAACTTTTCTGCCACCCAAATTCCTCCACACAATGAAGGAAAGAATTTACTTCAGACACACTAGGAGTCCATATAGATATACAAAAACACAGACAAGAAAACACAAAAACACCTTTTCATACAATGTCAAACAACATGTCTAAA